TATGTATTTTACTGTATGCCAACGATAAATTTATTCTCTGGACCGAAGCTCTTAGCAGACTTAGGAACGAGACCATCCCAAAATGTTGGCTGAAGTGCATTCTGGTAATGCATTTTTGACCGTGGTCAATTTGCTTACACCAGTTATTACCACACCCCTCCGGCTAATGTATTTGAATAGGCCAGGCATACAGTAATAACTTCAATTGCTCCGCTTCGGAAAGGGAATCTTGTAAGATGAAATTTAATGGCAAAGCGAAGTGGCATTAAAAAAAACATGAATGCGTTGGCAGCAGCACATTTTTAGTAATAACCAGCACAATGGCGAAAAACGATTCAATTTTGCTGTTTCTGGCACTGATTTTTCGGAGTGGTTTGCTCTAAATCTAGTCTAGTTCTAAAATGCTGAACATGACTTAACCCGCGCCCCACTGGGGGGCTATTTATAGCCCCCCTCCCGTTTTTCTGCAGTAACTTCCAAACCGCTTGACGGATCGACGCCAAACTTCCAGTACCTTCGGCTGCATCAATTTGACACCTTGTGTCAAAATTTGAACTTCGTAGCCACCATAGGTCGGCCGGAAATGACGTCAGAGTGACGTCATGTTCGTCCGATTTCGACGCAAAACATTGAATCACGGCAATCGCTCCCAAGAGCTCAGTTTTTAAGCTAGATCCAATTTCTTTGCATGAAAGGACTCAGAATTGACCGCGCTATCAAACTGCGATCTCGGATTTTCCAATTTTTGAAAATTTCGAAAATTTTATATAATAATATTCAAAATTTATATTTTATATTTTTTTTCAAAAAGTTTTTGACTTTTCGAAAAAACCGGAATATATGTGACAGAACGCATGATTATGACTAACTCTAGCAAGTTTTAGCTAAATATCGTCAAAAATGGCCAAGTTATACGCATTATTACAAAAAATTCACAATTATTAATTTTTCAAATCAATTTTTTAGCACGTATTTGACATCGTACACCAATATAAATGGCACCATCGTGTTCCTGAGCTCAAACTGCATCCAACAGACACCTTTTTTGTTGAAAAATTTTAACTTCAAAATTTGACCTTTTTTGACCTGAAAATGACCTGACCTAAGCTAAATTCGACTCAAAATGACCTCGAATGACACAGACGACATCAAATTCGAAATCTATGGCCTAAATGGACCATAAAACATGTGTCACGTGACCGACGCATGGTATAATATTTTCGTGACCTGTGATGACCTGACCCTGACCTGAAAATCAAAGTACAAGTTTGGTACCCTCAAGGTATCTAGAGCATCTGTTCACGAGTGTGGAAACAAAAAATGAGCCTGATCTGACTTGTAAGACGGCGGCCAGAGCCCAAAATGTGAACAAGCCAAAATGCTAATAATTTTTACTTTGACCTGACCTGTGACGTCATCGGTGACCTCGAGGTCAATGAAATTAGGTTTCGCTCGACAGTTTTTCCGGGGCTATCAGACGCCGTTTGAATTTTGACGATCGGCCCAGTAGTTTCGGAGTTAGGAGGGGGGGGGGGGGCTATGAATAGCCCCCCCCCCCCCAGTAGGGCGTGTTATACACAGACCCCAGTGGGGCGCGGGTTAAGGTTCCCCTCAGAGGTCTACGTATGTACATGCAAGGTCCTCAAAGATCTCTGTACCTATGGCCCCTCAGAGAACATGGGCACCAGTGGGACTCTCAGATGCCGGTTTGGGCCCTCTGAAGGCTTCATAGAGCTCAGTGAAGTTCCGTAGGAGCATGCGTGAAAAGCAAAATCATTAATCCTGCGACACTTGAACGGTACTTGAACATCTCGCAGACATCTGACCAGAGCTGAGAAAGCCCCCGAACCATGGCCCCGAAGATTTCGTGTCGCGCTTTGAACGAAAATGGTGTCAGCAGTCAGCACTTCAATACTTACGACAATCGGCTATAAAATGTAATAAAGAACCAACTAGGAAAACGGAATGAATCACAGCATTGAAATTTGGGAGTCTTGAGTCGGATTCTGGAAGCTTTTGGCGACTCAGACTTCGACTCTGGTTTGAACTGCGCGCTTCAACGGAGTCCGACATCACAGGCATTTTCAGAAAGGTACCCCCATTTTCCCGACTGCTCCAAAATCTCATCGGATCTGGATCGATAACAGGGGATGCCCGGTCGTAGGTGGTGGTGGTGGTGGTGGTGGGGGGTCAAGCTGCCCCGCTTGCCCCCCGTGGCGACGCTAATGGTAGAGGAATACGGTCCTTGTAGAGGAATGCAGGCACGTCATCGTCAGCCCATCAGCATGCTGCTTACAGCCAATGCACTATGCAGCATGCGTAGGTTTCAGGGGGGCGACACGGCTATTCGCGCAATGTATTCAGTTATGGGCCGCGCGGGGCCTCGCGATGACGCGGCTGGAGGCAACTGCTCAGCGCGCTAGGATACTTCTGGCGGGGCCGGGCGCTGAACGGTGTGCAATGAATGGGTTATGGGCGGGCGGACAGAGATAAGGTATTGAATTTGAATTGACATCAGCAATCGGGTGGGGAGGGAGAACGTTTCTAATCGAGTTTGGGATGGGGAAAGCCGAAAATGTCACGATCGGATCATAGCTCCGACAGGGCCGGGTGCCGTACCATGTGTAGTATATTTAGGCGGGCAGACAGAGATCAGTTATTGGATTTAAATTCACCTTACCATCAGTTTCTGGTGGTGTTTGAAGACGTTTTTAGTCAAGCTCGGGGTCGGGCAACCCACTGGCGGATCCAGGGGAAGGCATTTGGGGCAAATGTCTTCCCCCACAACCGGGGCAGCGCCCGAAATCGCTTTTCGAGAATAAAAGAAAACTTCACAACTATTCTGAGGAAATGTTGGTTAATCACACTGCACAGCAGTGCGCAAGAAATCGAAATCCGAGCTTCTTTTTTTAAATTAATTCGGAAAAAAAACCTTTTTGAGGTTAGCCCCCGCAGTGTCCAAGACCGCTTCCTTATCCGCCAGTTGTGAATAAGTCTGAATGAAGTCACGGTCGATACCGAGCTTCGGCGGGACCAGGCGGCGCATACGTTGTACGTACCTACGTACCTACAATGAAAAGGCGGACAGACACCTGACCCCACATCCTACTGCTGTGACCCGTGCTTCTGTGGGTGAAGCACTGAAGCATCACGGAATCCCACAGGACCTGCGAGTCGACGAGGTGGCCGCTTTGGCCGCCGGGTACTGCAGCTCCCTGGAGTTGCCTGGGACCGATGGTAAAACAACAGCTCCGGCGGTGCCCCTATGAGCCGTAATAATTAGTGAATTCCCGTAATGTAGAGATCATATCCTCAATGATTTCCATTACGGTTTTATATTCCTAAACAATATGACAGACCAATTATGCTTGCCTACGTAATCAGGCAGTACCTCTGATGGTTAAACGCTCAGTACAACATGCGTTGTCTGTCAAACAACAATCGACGATGGGATCCTTTCTCGAATCATCTCTTAAACCATCGGTTGTCAATTCACCCACCCCGTTTCCCTAAAAATAGACGGTCAGATTCGGCCTGGGTCCTTACGAGTTACGACCCCTCTGGATTCGCCAGAGACGGGATCGGGTCGCCGTTATTGCACTCGTCTTAGTGTCTTTAGATACATACAGCTTCGACCATGGACGTCGGACGGAGTGATCGTTCTACGAATGTACGCACCATCCAGGCCTAGGATGCATCGAGGTTTATAAGACTGCAGTCTGTAGATCAATCAGCATAACAATGGTGGTATGCAACCACATTAGAAGATCTCTCCGGCTCCCGCAACGTTCCAACGCCCCTCCTTTATGCATTCGCCCGATGTGTCCGCCGAGCCGGCTTGCCTCCAATGACGTCATCGGCCGGCCGGCGGCGTTCAAGGTCAAACGGCTGGTGTCCTTACCTGGAGTTCTATAGCCTTGGTAGGTTTGAACTACGCAACTTATGATTGATTAACGCGTAATAAGCTTCCGCGTCAAATCTTATTTCCTATAGAATATAGTTCTTCCTATGTTAAAATATAGAAAATAACTCTTTTTATAAAGATGTTTCATTTAATTTTCTGAGCATTTTTAGCATAAAAACATAAATCATAATCCATTGCAAAAAAAAATTAAGGAAGGTGGTATAATCACTTAAAAGTCGTGCGGTGTCGCGAGCTACCCAAATAACCCGGTTTACATAGCATTTAGACATTTTCCCTAGATGGCTTAGAAATATCGCGAATTTGCTACTGCAAAAAATGGTTTCATTCAATGTTTACACTAGCAATGCCTCGAAATTCAGGCATATGATATGAATAACTTACAATAAATAAGATATTTCGGGCGTAAACAAATGGCACTATTTTTGTACGCACAGACAATTTGGAAGGCACCATATCTGCTGCCATATCTCCCTGCGCCCCTTCGTAAACACTTCGTCTCATTAGCTAATTCAAGCTATAGAAATCGCGATATGTAAAAATACTGTTTACAAAAAAAAAGATTCATATTATAAACCAAAGTAAGATATGAAAGACGCCAAAGAAATATCAAGCACTGCTGTCTTTGGAAAGACAGCTCTGCATTCTGATCGGCGGAAATCAAGGCGAACTATATTCTGTTCCGTTTCAAAGCCGAAGTGCCCTGCTGAAAGCAGTGCGTGATTTCTGTATATACAACCATAGAGATCTTATATACATAGAGATGACACGCCTATGTTAAAGCACTTGATTTCGTGGCGATTCCATTGACCTATAATAAGTATAGACGAACTACTCGCGTCTTTGCGGCGTTCCTCGTCGACCAAAGAAGCAAATTGTTTTCTGAATTTACAGCGCAGGACAAGGGCAATCCTAACCTTTAAACACGGACGTAGAAATAAAAGTTTGCTAAATATTTAACGTTAATTTATTTTAAAATGTGTAACAGAACGCTAACATTTACTACAAAACATTTATTTAAACGTTTAAGGTTTGAAGTCAAGCCTCACGAAATCGTCTCCATGGTAACCGAGTAAACAAAGTCCTCGGCATCATTTATAGAGGCCTCCACGGAGGCCGGTGGATGACGTCACGGAAAATGCCGCCGGGCGCAGTCAGCTGCTGGTAGGCAAAACATTCCGTGGTAGGCGTTGCGCCACTATAGGGTGCGGCGGGAATTCGAGAGGATGGTGGAGGTTAATCACGTTTTATCGTGAAAAATGCCGACTTCTTGTGCTGCTTATGGTTGCACTTCTCGCTCTGGAAAAGATAAGGTGTCTTTTTATCGGTTCCCCAAAGATAATGACCGGTTGAATGCTTGGGTACGTGCTACCAGGAGGAAAAACTTTGTGCCCGGCGCTGGGGCAAGGATATGCTCTAAGCATTTTATCACTGGTGAGTACCTAGTTAAAAAAAAACTGTGTACATGTTTAATATGAATGTCATTTCTACGTCATACATAATTGTGGAGTCAAAATGCCACAATATTTTTGCATGGCATCTCAGGCTATCAAACATATTGTCTATGGTTTGTGAGTGAAAGTTGATCCACCACCTAGACAAATTTTGATATATTTATTCAATTACAGGGGCACCAGTCAGTGAGAAAGGGAGTCCTGACTGGGTACCAAGTGTCTTCAACTTCCCGTCATCTCAGCATGCCAGCAACGTTGGGATCGGCGGAGTGAAGAGAGCAGAAAGGGCCCAACAAAGATCAGCTCAGAAACAGCATGCGTCTCTCCACCTGTCGGCTTCATCTGGAGATCAAGATGAAATGTGTACAGCCGAAGAACCAGTGTCTCAGGTGAGCTACAAACATTGGCTACTTAGGTACCTACCAGTTCAACCAGTTTTCCTGGCACCAAGAAGTAGGTAACTATCTCTATTTTGTTGATAACAATGCCTACTTTTTGTTATCTTGCAGGTCAGCATTGAAGAGGCCAGAGCTGCAGAGGCACTGCTGGAGATGTCAGCAGCAACTGGCACCCGTGAGGTTGGCTGCAATACTGATGGTACATGGGGAGAAAACCACAAGACAGTCGTCTCAGCTCTACTTGATAGAATTCATAAGCTGGAGGCTGAAGTCACATCGTTGAAGGAGGAGTGTGAGCAGCTGTTGAACAGCAAAAAGCATAACTCATTTGAGACTTTGAAAGAGAATGAAGAGGAATTTAAATTTTATACCGGGTTCCCATCCCTAGCAATGTTCATGTGGTTTGTAAGGGTTCTTTGTCTGGGGTGCGACCTTAGCAAAATATCCAGGTTGTCTGTGCACAACATGGTTCTTATGGTGTTGATGAAGCTCAGGCTTGGGACAACCAATCAGGATCTTGCATGGCGTTTTGGTGTAAGCAGGTCCTTGGTATCAAAGATCGTTCAAGGAACCCTCAGTCCAATGGCTGCAATGTGCAGGAGGCTCATCATCTGGCCATCAAGGGAAAGCATACAGGCCAACCTCCCTCTCTGCTTCCGTTATCCCGAACTTCGAAAGGTCAGAGTGGTAGTTGACTGCTTTGAAATTTTTACAGACAGGCCAAGGCATCTCACATCCAGAAAGAAAATGTTCAGTTCCTACAAACACCATAACACATGCAAGGTTCTAATTGGTGTGTCACCAGCTGGGGCAATTACATTCTTGTCTCCAGTCTGGGGAGGTCGATCATCAGACAAAAAGATCACACTGTCATCTGAGCTCATTGACATCCTTGATCCATTCGATGTGGTGTTGGCGGACCGGGGGTTTACCGTTTCTACAGAAATGGCTCTGTACAATCTCAAAGTTTTGACACCAGCATTTGTTCGTGGTCAAGCCCAGCTTCCTAGGGCAGAAGTAGAGAAGTCTAGGCTTTTGTCTCGAGCTAGAATCCATGTTGAAAGAGTCATTGGTAGAATGAGAACGAAGTTTCGCATTCTGAAGTCTACATTGCCAGTCACCATGTACACGCAGGTAGATGATGTTGTTTGTGTGTGTGCAGGTATCATAAACCTGCATCCAAGTGTGGTTCCGTGAGATGCCCCAAAACTCCATGGAATGCATGATTAGATGGTACTAAGTGCTGGTAACATGCTCCGATCATGTATTGAAAACAAACTCAATTGAGTTTGTTTTCATGACAGTGACATTGTTGATGAATAAAACAGACTTGCAAATGATTTGTGTGAGGTCACAAACAGATGTTATAGTTCGTAATCAGCATCACCTGTAGCACCAGCATCACGCCATAACCCAAACCCTTGTTATAAAGATAAGCTAGCACAAAAGATATATTTGTCAGCCAGACAATGATGATCAATGCAGCCAGCATAGCAAAATCAACACGACCATCTGGTGTCAGTGACAGAACAACCTACATGTGCACTAATGGGCACCCGGCACAGTCGCTAGCTATGACATCACTTCAGGAGTGCTGGCACAATCTCTTTCACATAAAAGGTTTCAAGAACCTTCACCAGGTAGTCACCCATGCTCTCCATGTACTTTATCACCAGAACATGGGGCTTCTGCCCCGGCACATACACACAAAATGCACATGACTTTAGCCCACAGACCATCATCTGTCCCTGCACCTGCATCATGTACGGGTGCTCTGCTTTGAGGTGCCCATTCTCATCTAGAAACCCAGCCTCCTGCGGAGACTTGTCCTTCAGGCTAAAGGGGCACTTCACCTCCAGAACCCATGTCCCACAGCATGCACACTCAATGATACCATCTGGGGAGGCAGCCAGGTAGGGGTGGTCAGGGCTGACGAACAGCCCACACTTACGAATTGTCAGCTCACTATGCATAGAGCTCAGAACCCCTTCTACAGCAACACAAGCATCTGCCTCGTGTGTATGTCCCCAGACTACAGCAGGCACTGTAAGCTTACAGGACGCTGGCTCCACGATCTTACGCACCAATGATGCACTCTGTCGTCCCCCCTCGACATGGCTCACCACCTCACCAAACACTGAAGCAGTCACCCTTCCATGCCTCTGGTTAAGCCACTCCTTCGATCCTCCCTGATCCACAGTAGCTCGCTCGACGTTCCCTATCACATCACTAGGGTACATCTTCTTCAGTTTGTTAACCAGCATCTCACAGTACTTCCTCGATGGCTCAGCATCACTAGGAGCTATCTTCTTCAAGATGGAGAACATCTTGTAGATGGGATATGGCAGCTCAGTCCTGCCATCCACAACATCACCACTGACTGGCAGAGAGCTTTGCAGCGCACACCCAGCAGGCAGATCCTGCAGCTCTGTCTGAAATGCAGCATCAGACATGATGAACTCGACGCTGCTTCGCTTGGCAGGAATGCCCATGTCTGCTGCAATGTCAAGGACCTTGCTGGGCTCCACCTTCTTCGTAGCTGTCTGATGATTCCATTGACAGGCCTTGCTTGTTGGTGCATTCTCTGTCAGTCCGTGGAGTACGGCTGCTTGGATCTTGTAGAGCACACCTGCCACATGGCTGCACACTTCTCCAAGTCCTGCCATGCATTGGCAGTGGGCAGACATAACACTGCCATTGGGGTGGCAGAGCACCCATGCATTATACGACTTTGAAGCCGTCTGACTGGCCTGTACCTCTGCCTTCACGAAAACACCACTGGTATCCACTGAGCAGAGCTTGAGTGGGCCAACATGACTAGACAAAAACACATTCCAAGCATCTAGTGACTTGAAAGCTTTCAAGTTGTCGGACGTGAAAGTGCCAGAAGTGGAGACCAGATACGCAAATATATCTGGAAACAGCACGAGTGGGAGCTTCTCGAAACTGTCCGAGATCCAGTAGGCCTCATCGATCTTGTACGGATCAGGAAATACCTTCTCTCCCAGGCAGAGCTTTGCTTTGTATCGTGAGGAGTCGTACATCACGAACAAAAACACAAACTAGAGAAAAAACTATCGAAAACAGCTCTCACAATCCGATAAACCACGAGACGCCAGTGCAAATGGCCGCGATCGCCCGGTTTGTTTTGCCTACCAGTCAGCGTTGCCAGTTACGAAAAATAGTTTGTGACGTCACCGTGGAGGCCTCTATTGTTGCCGCATTGCAAATTGCGTAAGGTGTGTTGACAGTCCTGTGCATATTAAACAAGAAAAGATAATTTGTCACCAATAAAGAGCACAAACAAATATCAAGCACATATTGCACGTGATAAGTGAATCATTTCAAGGCGATAAAATTGGCTTACGTTATTACAGCAAGCATTTCAAGCGGTGTCTTCTGGGATATTTGGTATATATGTAATTAAAGCAGTTTATTTCATTTTCTTTAAATTTATCCTGTTTATCTGCTAGAGCAGTCAGGCACTGATAATTTTATCATAATGGCTAGTGTCAAGAGAAGAAAAAAAACTGAGAGACACTTGCAATCTTCACAAATGTCATAAGAAACGGCTTGGAAGAGGTCTACCCAAGGTCTACCTAAGAAGGCACAGGCCTATGTTCCTGTTGCTGGAAGTGTGCTGAAATTCATCTGCCAGCTGAACCAGACATAGCCCGACTTATGGCCAACATATAAAGTAAAAAAGATTGACGAACTTCAGTTGTAAGTTGCAGGCACGTACCCAGGATTTGGCCCAGGAGGGGGCCACCTGCTTCCGAAGGGGCCCTTAGGTCATCTGGGGCCCCCAGTCCGCCCAGGCGACCAGGGGCCCCCAGGCAACCAGGGGCCCCCATGCGACCAGGCCCCCGCTACCAGGGGCCCCTTGGCGACTAGGGGCCCCAGGCGATCAGGGGCCCCATGCGACCAGAGGCCCCCACGCGGCCAGGCCCCCCGGCTACCAGGGTCCCCTAGGCGACTAGGGACCCCAGGCAATGAGGGGCCCCCATGCGACCAGGCCCCGGCTACCAGGGGCCCCCTAGGCGACCAGGGGCCCAGGAAACCGGGGGCCCTCGGATGACTGCAGGGGCCCATCGGGTCATCAGGGGCCCCTCGGGTAACCAGAGGCACATAAATGAAACTTTGATATCATTTTTTCTTCCTAGTAAAAGACGTTTTATCCAGTGTTTGAAAAAAATATACCGGGGCCTGAGGGGCCCCCTGAGCGCCTTCGGCGCTCAGGAGGGGGCCATGGCCCCCGTGGCCCCCCCCCCCTTGGGTACGTCACTAGTAAGTTGTTACTGCAATTAAACATGATGGAGGCTGGAGCCGTCAAGAAAACTGAATGGAAGCTCAGCAAGACTGCAACAGTCGAAATGCCTACCAAGTGTGACCTGCTAATGACTGGCTTAATTATTTCTTGCGTGGCTCAACATAAGTGCTCAAGAGCAGAAGGCCCCTCATTTACTTGTGTGTGCGCTGATTTGTGGAACGTTGTTAAAATCGAAAACCAGAATTCGTGAACTTTTGGTGATCACCAGTGACTTTTAGCGATGGCCTGATCGAAAAATGTTCTAGATGATTCTCAAAGTTCTTATAGCGAGCTACCTACTGCCCTTTCCGCATCTTTCTACCTTTCTTCCTTTGCGAGATAATATGGCGTGGACAAATACGTCCCCCCTCCTCCCATCACTATGGCGAAGCTGGCTGAAAGGCCCACCCGGGCGCGGGTTAAAGAGGCTCATGGGTGAATTAAATCATGTATCATTATGTGCACTCAGATTGGTATGAGTATATCGCCACTCATCCCACAGTCTCTACTACCATGAACATTATTTTCACGTCTTCATATGCTTTGACTATGCTTTGATGATGTCATGAATGTTACTGCTGAGCTTCATCTTAAATACACAATACATAATGTTGAATCAACTAACAAACTGTATTAATCGAATTCGCAATCATGAAGAGAAACGCGCATGAGAACTGGAAAACTACGTGATAGTGAAGCCGAATGCTCCTTTAACGGATCAAGAAATGATGATTCTGAGCGCAATGGCAAAGCCGCTCATTCGAGATGTGAAAGTGACCCCGCTCGTGTGCACGTGCAAACTGGACCCAAATGCACTTGAGCACGGCACCCTACTAAACGGTCGCTACCGGTGTACCAAATTTGAGCACAATCTGCCCAGCCACTCTCGAGATGTGGAAGCGACCCCTCGCACGTGCGCACGTGCAAGCTGGACCCAAACTGACTTGTGCACGGCACCCTGCCAAACGGTCCCTAACGGTGTACCAAATTTGAGCACAATCTGCCCAGCCACTCTCGAGATGTGGAAGCGACCCCCGCACGTGCGCACGTGCAAGCTGGACCCAAACTGACATACGCACGGCACCCTGTCAAACAGTCCCTAACGACGTACCAAATTTGAGCGCAATCGGCCCAGCCGTTCTCGAGATCTGGAAGCGTACCCTGCGCGTGCGCACGTGCAGCAGCACCCAAACCGTGACACGTGGAAATGCATTATAATTTGCATGTCCACCGACATGCTAAGTTTCAGCTCAATCAACCCCGTCGTTGTAAAGTTATTGTTGATCGAACAAATTTGTCGCCACTTAGTTGGCACGTGGCGCGTGCCGTGTCCCTCACCCTATGACTTTGTGCTATGTTCAAGTGATTAAGCTTGGACGCTCCTACATTGTAGACGCAGTCTCGTTCCGTTCCGTCGTGTTATTTACGAGAAAGAAGTCGAGAAACTTTCGCGTTTTTCCCATAGACAAAGCATTATGTCATTAGTTCGTGCCCTTACACGTACGGTGGCGCTAGTGTCGCTCAGCGGGAACGGCCTTCAGGCGCTGATTAAGCCAGAGTAGTCTGTCTATACTTATTATAGGTCAATGGGCGATTCAGTGGGTCTTTTTAAGCAAGGTTTTCTGGGGTGCCATGGCCCGTGACTTGCATTTTGTAAGGATTCGGTCAAGGAGATTGTGTTCACATCCGCTTATTTTTAAGTACAGTTTTTCTTTTTTGTCTAGCTGTGACGCTTTCGAGCGTTATTATTGAAATGAAATTAGGCATGTTTTAACCTTATGCTCGTATCAGGTACTGCATGTATCATTAACCCTCGCCGTCCGACGGGGGGGGGGGGCGGGTGCCGCCTCCCTATAGGGTTTTTCACGATAGCTCCGAACACGCAGGCGATAGAGGGCTGAAACTTGGCATACCTGACCTTTGATCCAAGCCGCATCTTGTGACACCAACCGCATTTTCAGGTCAGGTCAGGTCACTGACCTGTGACGTCAAAGTGAGCCTCTGCACAGTCCTCAGATGTCGCAACTT